AAGGGAGCAATAATTTTCACAGCACTGACTGTGCATCAAAAATCAAATGGGAAAACTTTTTGTCGTTCTGGTTGGCTGCTAATTCTAGACTCTTTTACTAAGCTAAGGTTTCACAATGAAAATGTGTCATGTGACCAGAGTGCCATAATTTGGTCACATGATGAGAAGTGAGCAAACTACATATGAACTGCGCAAGGTCAATTTACTGATGAAGGCTGTGAGATATTGCTCAAAACAGTGAACTAATTATATAATGTAGATCTGTATCATCATATTGAAACGTTTAAGTAAATACTCGGCCCTACTACAACATTACTGAAGGATGAAAAGTGACAAAGGTGAAGTCAGCTGATGTACATTGTTCCACAAAACAACAACTGTACATTTTCTCTGTAAAACAGAAAGAACATTGTACACTTGTCGTCTTTATTCAAGACACATTGGACTGCACACTTTAAATGTGAACATCGCCGATGGCAAACATTTTCCCTTCCACTGCAGCAGTTAACAGATGGTGCCTCTTAGTAACATGAAATGTTCGATACATATATTTAACCCCATAGTGTTATCATTTACCTCACATACTCATCTTGCTTTTGTGCTCCTGGATTTAAAAATGAGGATGAACTAGAAGTGTTAAGCGCCCCTGTTTTCTTTGTGAATGATGGGACTTGATGAGACACGAATAGAGACGATATTTTTCTGGCTTGTGTGAAATATAGAGTTGAATGTGTAATGCAAAGCATTTATGGAACTTTGCTATTTCTATATTGTTAAGGTTTGAGGTTTTACAAGCGTAACTAGCAAANCTCTTTCAGAGAACAATAACATGTAAATACAATATAAATGTTTTATTTTTACAGGTACAATTTTGACAGTGTTTTTCCTATCAAAGTGTCATTTTGCTTTACTTGCACAAGTGTTCTGTGTGTCTCACTGAGGAGGCTTTTATCAACTCTTAAGAGATTTGTGTTGGTGTAGGTTTTCAGAAGGCCTTCTTGACTTTTAAAACCGCTAGGACAAGTGAGAGCACAGGCAATAATGAAGCTTAAATGGACAGTTATTAAGCACTTAATTGTATCATCTTGTTAAAGTAATTGTTAAAAAGACATACAAGATATATGTTCAATAACTCCCGGGGTGATTTAGCCCTCATCGTTTGACCTCAGTGTGACATTATGAAAGAATATTACTTGATAATGGTTTTTCTCTGAAAGTTGTTGCATAAAGGCCAACTGTACAATCAGCTGCATGCAGTTTTGCCTTAATGTATGGCTGTATGACACAATCTAGAGATTTGATGGGAGAGAATTAACAAAATTGACAGTAAATACAATCTCAACTCATTGGAGTCTGGTATCAGATCAAGTTCATGATTCTAAAGCAAAAGTGAATTGTCCTGAACAAAGACATAGTGAAAACACGTTGCGTCCCAGTGTGGAGACCAGAGACATGAGATGCTCATCGGTGAGAGGCACAGACATTTAGCAAATCATGTCAAACTTTTTTATAAGCTTCATTGGTACCAGTGAACTTTATTGAATGTGTATGTAAGAAACACTGCAATACTGCAATTTATTTTGGTCTTGGATCAAGCTGCTAACATACTTCTAAAGCTCCTTAAGGTGCTACAGACCTCTTTTCTAGTTATTAAATGTATCATTTGTACAAACAAAGTATCCAGTTTAGCTGAACAGTTGGCATGTGTGTGCCTGGTTGTACTATATAGCTACATATATTTCATTGTACTGTGATTTTTGTAGTCTTTTTACAGACTTGCCTGTAATGTCCCCCCACACGTCTCCCCCCTCATCCCCCTACCCACCGTTGTGTTTTGATATTTGGAATCTGAGTCATGGTGGGAGATAACTCTGAGTGATGTGCACTCAGCAGAGATGCAGACATCTGTGCTGATGCTGAGAAAATGACTCCATGTGATGCCATTCAAAATGAGCAGAGGAAGTTCAGAGACAAACTGCATTCCAGCCATGTTGGTTTTGTTATCCATTGCATTTCAATAATGCCATCCTGTGTCAATGATGGACTCATTGCTAATTCTCAATATTTTTCTTCAAATCTATTTTACAAACTACTGTTGTATTTTTATAAATAGGTAAAGTATTTCACATAAACATATATATATAAGTAAATATATATGTATGTGTTTATAGGTTGTGTAAAATAAAAATGAATGCTGCAGCTTTTATCCATTGTGTTTGAAACATTGACATCATCCAAAGAGGCAGATTATTTATTGTCTGGCAGAGTAACCTGATTTGATTTACATACCTTGCTGCTATGAGAGAGAAGGCCTGCAGTCATCAACTCCAGTGTTTTACACAATGTAATGAAAGTTTATTAAACATAAGAGAAGGATCCAACTGTCACTATGTCTGATCATTTCTTTAAACATGTCTACCATCGTGATTTTGTCTACATCTGTGAAAGTCACTGGTTCATTGGAGGATTTTTATTCACACCAGGCCCGGTGAACTAACTATTATTACAGTGAGGTGGCCTAGCTTATAATATTTATGTATAATATACATATATAATATATATAGCTAAGTGGATTCTCAAAGACTCAAAGGTGAAATGATTACTGTGTGTGTATGCACCATAGACTGTATATGGTATGCACGTGTATGTGTGTGTGTTAGACTGGGTCTAAATAGGTGTGTGTTTAGGGTGATGAAAGGAGATGTCATGCAATACAACAGCTTATCATTTTTAATTGTTTTACAGCAACAATAATGTATAATCAAGCAAAAATATAGATATTTTCATTACAGTCACTTCACTAAGGTGCGCAATGTATCTTTTATCCACATATCCCTATTATTTTATTATTACCTTATTTACTTACTTACTTTTTTCCTTATTACAATTTAGCATACACTATTTACCATGCAGTACACATTAAGAAAAATGAACTTTGAGCAAATATTAACCAGGAACAAGCTATAACAATGGTGCGTAAATCAGCCGAGCTTCCTTATTTTAAAAGTAAAGCCACATACACAACTTCTTAATTTCAGAATGTTTTGAAATGACATTCATTTGAGTTGGTTCATCTATTTGACTGACAGAACAAAATCTGCTGCTTCACATTTCACATATTAAGAGAACTGGTCTAAATATACACCTAAAAACACTGCACTATTCATTTTTGACTGCTGGGAATAAGTCTTGACTTAAATTGCTTCTCAGTCTGTTAATGATTGATATGAATTTCTATGGTCTGTATGAATATGGAGAAAGCGGTCTTGTTCTGAATGATATGGTCCTGAATGTCCAAAGAAGTGGGATAATTATTGATCTCAGATTAAGTGTTATACACTTGTCAGTTCAATTAAAAGACCAAAATACTAATTTAAACTAAGCTTTTCTTAAATAAGTGAGTTTTCATTGCATATAATGAACAGATCTTGTTTACATATTTGGCATTTGTATCTAGTTTTAAGGTTCATTACAAGCTTTCTGTGCCTGTAATTTAATGCTAACCGTAAGAATTTTATAGTAAAGCAAAAGCATCACTCCCTGTTGGCAGATTTGTTTCTTGATAAACTGGTAAACGGTCTGTATTTATACAGCACTTTTCTGCTCTTGATGACCACTCAAAGCACTTTACAGTACAGTTCTCTGCCATGCACCCTTTCACCCACACATTCATACAGTGCATCTATGGGCAGGCATCAGGGAGGTCTGGGATCGAACTGCCAACTTTCTGGTTAGAGTATGGCCTGTTCTACCCCTTGAGCCATAGCCATAGGCTATTTGACTTATTTCTAGTTGGGCTGTTTTTGCAGTGTATTTTTAATCTTCACTTTCCAACATTGAACTATGTATACATGTTCCTGGCTTGTGTGTTTAAGAGAGTGGTTTTCTAAAGTTGAGGTGTACCAATCCTAAATGGCAATGTTTTACTGAACAATTCAGACATGTATTAAATTCAAGTAGACTGGATATAGATCATGAGAAAACAGAACTTGAACTAAGAAAGGTAATGCATTGCTCATACTGTACACTAAGTTTTATTTACTGTGCTACAGGAAAAAAAACTATAGAACTATCTTTTCCATAATTGTGTATATGTTTATGGCAGTCATTTATATTGAAGTCAGTAATTATTTGGTCATATGATGAGTCTAAACAAACCCCTTAAAATTCTCTTACAGCATGGCAGGTGACCAGTCTGGCAGGTGATGTGTACACAGCCCTGTTTAGCTGTCTCTGAGTCAAAATCAATACATCTTACCCTGTAAACATCTGTCATTCTCCCTCTTGCCCTCTCTGTTGTCTCTGTGCCTCCACAGTCAAGCTTGTGTCACCTAAGCAATAACTCCACTTATTTTTGTGGAGACTGGAGAAGATCTCAAATTTTGAGGACAGCTCGGCCTGTGCAGAACAAAGCCACTGCACGTCATCTCAAAGCCTGTTTTGAAGTTTCAAGGATCGTTCGCAGGGGAACAGAATTGAAGAGTGACACAGTTTATCATGAACAGACGGACAGATGATGCCACACATTGTGCCCTGTCCTGTGTTATCAACACTGCTGTGCACTGACGTAGCTGTTAGAATGTGATCATTTGCTCATGCATGCTGGGAAAGTCTCAGTGAAACACACTGAGCAGGACAAATACAGGCTCTGAGCTGTGTAACATGTTTCCCAGTGGAGCTCCCTCCCCCAGCCTCATGCTGAACAATGCCAAATCTCTGTCCACCTCTACAACGGTACACTGCACAAAGTTGTCCAGTAAGCTGCTGATGTAGCAGTGGCATGCACATGGTAGTTACTTTTGGACACACATAAATATTATTGTGCTTCACCTCAAACAGAATGCAAAAAGTGGCTCATATTACCCATCCTCCCCTTGCTGCAGACTGAGTAAACTGAGTTGAACCATTGGGATGAACCCGTTGAACCCAAACAGAAAGCATTACATACTCCACAACACTAAGTGGCAGTGTGGCTGCGCGGCTGTGTTTGTGCGTGTGCACAAAAGCGGTGAGGCTGAGGAGCTTCTGTTCAGTCAGCTGCAGACTTCAGACTGCACGGGCTGACTCTAATATGCACGATGCCCTCTCCGATCCCTGTGACCCGCCTGCTCCCCAAAGACATCTACCCCTTTCTGGACATCGGGACCTGCAGCAGCCCACTGACCAAACACTCGCACGGCTCCACCTTACAGGTTCCCGTCCAGCGGCTGCACGGTAGAGTGGCCAGCAGGCTCTGGTCCTCTGTGATCCACTGGAAGGAGCTGCGGTCCATGCAGCCAGTGGGCTCCGGGGGATTCGGCTCCGTCTACAAGGCGGAGTACCTCGGGGACACCGTCGCGCTGAAGAAAGTCAAGAAATGCACAAAGAACAAGCTGGCGTCCCGACAGAGCTTCTGGGCCGAGCTGAACGCGGCACACCTGCGCCACAGAAACGTCGTGCGCGTCATCGCGGCCACCACCTGCGTCCCGGCGGATTTTGGAGATGAGAGCAGCATCGGGACGATCCTGATGGAGTTTGTTGGGAGCAGGAATCTGCAACAGATCATCTACGGCTGTGAAGAGCTGGGGGAGGACCGCTGGCTCAGGTACTCCACGGACATCGCGCAAGGCCTGCGGTTCCTTCACTCGCACAGCGTTGTGCATCTGGACATAAAGCCAGCCAACGTGCTGGTGTCCAATGAAGACGTCTGCAAAATCGTTGATTTCGGCTGCTCTCTCAAACTGGACCGTGGGTGTGAGACGAGCACCATCGCCCCCCACCTGAGCCACATGGGCGGTACGTACACGCACAGGGCCCCTGAGCTGCTTAAGGGCGAGGAGGTGTCTCCTAAAGCGGACATCTTCTCCTTCGGGATCACCCTGTGGCAGCTGATCACCAGAGAGCAGCCCTACACTGGCGACAGGCAATACGTGGTCTATGCGATGGTGGCGTACAATCTGCGGCCGTCTGTGCAGGACTACCCGGTGTTCCGCTCGGAGCAGGGGCGACTGTGTAGCACTCTGTTGAGCCGGTGCTGGAGCGGAGAGGCCACATGCAGACCCAGTGCTCAAGAGCTGCTGCCATACCTGGAGCAGGTGCGCTCCCAGATATGACTCGATTTTTACCGCTGGTGCACATGCACCGGCTGCTGAGGGTTCGATTCAGTGGGACGGTTTTAGAAACGTTTTAGTAGTTTTTCAGGACCAAGCAGTGGACCCACCTTTACGCCGAATCCCATTGGGGAAAAAGTGTGGAATTAAGTGCCTACTTGTTTATCTGCCTCAGTAAATATTGTGAGATGACATGCACATTGCACAGTGTCGTTTTAGCCGCCACTGATTTAAAACACAGCAGACATTTTGTTCCATCGCAAATTCCACCTTAATGCATTTTTGGTTGCAATTGTGAAATGTATTGTACAGTTCATTTTAAGTATTTCTATGAAATCAACTGCTGCACTTTGTTCCAATGTGGTTAGTGTGTTGAGAGAAGGCAGATCTCTTTATGAAGAAAAATAACTTTCTTGGATTGAGATGCCACTTGGCCCATTAGTTCAATAAACTACATTTTACATTCAGAGGTTAAAGTTTACAGTTTGCCAGCACCTCATCTCACAAACTGTATATAAAGTGTGTGTATAGTTACTGTGAAAGTTCTGACTTTGTTTTATATCTGTTTATTTCTTAAGTTTTGGAATCAGATGTGCTGTGGATTGACTTTTATTTGCCACAATGATTGTACTGAGATTTAAGTGATGGGTTTTCATTAAAATTATTTTTATACTATACATGTTTTGCTTCGCAGCTTTTTACACATCATGAAGACGGGTCACCAGGTTGTCAGGACCAATATGTTCAGGCAGACATATGCTGATGCATTTTCAAGTTTCTAGTTAACCTGACCTTAATTTGAACTGTGGGAGGAAACATGACATGGCACGTGGAGAACCCAGATATTCATGTGTATTCCAACCCATGACCATCTTGCTAAAAGATAAAAAATAATGGTAATGTAAACAGAGCCTGTTCCATTCTTTTTACTTTGCAAAGTTATCCAGATCATATAGATTTAATTGTTTTTATAAATAAAGCACATAAGTCAAGTTAAAAATTGAAAACACTCTTTATCTTAATGATTGTATTGCAACCTGCAAGATGGAAGTATTCTCAAACTTCAGAAGTGATACAGATGTGGTTAGACTGATGAGCTGTCCCTGCCTCTTGCCTAATGTCAGCGAGGTTTGGCTCCAGCTCCCATGCACATGAACCCATAAGAGAGATGATGAATGGATAGATGTGTTAAGGGGATAGTTCACCCACAAACGAAAACATTCACTCATCTACTCACCACTATGCCGATGGAGGGGTGGATGAAGTGGTCTCCACGTTAGCATGGACCTGACAACAAAGAAGATGCTCAAAACACTTTTGGAGTTTCAGGGTATTGTAAAAGTATTGTAGCCAAATTCAATGCAATTGAAGTAAATGATGACCCCTTCAAATGTAAAAAAAAAACAACTGAAAAAAACATTATATGCCTCCATACTGCTCCTGTGGTGTCATCCAAGTGTCTGAAGCCCTGACATTCAAATTCGACTTGCAATGGTTTTAAATGGTTTGTATTTATATAGAGCTTTTCTAGTCTTGATGACCACTCAAAGCCATTTGAGTCATTGCCATTCACACACAGTGCATCTGTGTTCTATGAGGGGCTCATTTGGGTTTAAGCATCTTGCCCAAGGACACTTAGGCATGCAGATGGGGAAGACTTGGGATCGAACTGACAACTTTCTGGTTAGAGTACAACCGCTCAGCCACAACTGCCATGTACACAATTTTTTTTGCCTAAATGTCTCATCCTCGCAAATTCTGTTCCAGTATGCATACCTCGCCAACCAGTGCCATTGACTATCATCCTACAGCAGCTTTTAAGAAGCTCTCTCTGCAAATGGATTTTGACTTTTTGTCAGACAGACTCTGATTGTCATTCATTCACATTTGACTACACTACCAAATTCAACTCAAACCAGCTCATCAAACTTGCAGATGACAACATTGGTAGGACTCATCGGTACTGACGATGGAACATCATCTCTCAACATCATTGAGAGACTCCTCCCACCCCTTTCAATGACTCTTTGATGTGTTGCATCAGGAGATATCACACCAGGAAAGCAAAAACAGCCAGAGTTTGCAAAAGGCCATAAGACTGCTAAACCCTTGCACAATAAGCTACATTTACTTTTAAACCTGTATTTACAATGCCAACTTTTATATTTTTCATAATTTTTTATCATTTAACTCAGGCACTAGATTGCACTTTAAGATTATTGCACACAAATTGTTGCTTTTTTGTATTGTTTTATGTGCTCACAGATCATGAGAAACACAAATTCATTCCACTGTATTTGTTACAGATATGGCTGGAATGACGTGAATAAACTTGAAACTTGACAGTCAGCTGTAAAGTGTGTATTAGACATTGAATGCATTAAAATGCAGAACAAATAGAATGAGGAACAGCTTCTATGCATGGGCTGTCAGAACACTGAACTAAAAAAAAAAGTTTTTTTCTATCCAACCACAACTACCCCTTTTTCCTGTAAACATGTTTATTTTTATATTTTTTGTTTCTTTTTCGCTGAATGCACCTTTCAGTGGTAGCTGCTGTAATTTCGCCATGCTTCATTGTGTGATGACATTTAAAGCATTCTATTCTATTCTATAAATGTATGGCTGATTAATTAATTGGCAAGAGCGGGCTCTAAAATATTTGGTACTGTATTACAGCAAGGCAGCCAATGATTTTTACTTATTTCAAGTGAGAGAATATACCTGCAGATGTAAAATAGATGCTTTAGATTGATGATCCACCAGAGTGAACCTCACTTTATTTGGTGAGGCAGAGCAAGTCCAAAGTTTTTGGGTTGAAGGAAGGTGAACTTATTCAATAAAAGTATTTTTGTGACATACTTTATTCATGTTGATGCAGCACATCGAACATAAGAGATTAACATCAGCATTACACCCAACGGCGCTGATGGAAAAGTCACACACATCTTACACAGTGAAAATGATCAGACCTTACCTGTACGATGATGAGACAAACTGATGTTGCCCTGACACTGTTTTTGACTAAGCAGCATAACTAACTGTACTGGCATTGTACTAGCAACACATGGCAAGCGACACAAATATCTTCACCATTAAGACTGCTGCTGCAGGGTGTACAAACATGAATTGTCAATTGAAGCCATGGATCTCACTGATTAGAACATGACAGATAGACACAATATTAACCGTTACAGTAACACAGTCACGAAGGGCAGAAAAACCATAGCAACAAAGTTATAATGCAGAATCAACAAATAACTTAAAATGTTTGTTGACATCTTTGTAAAAATGAGAACAAGTTAAGCAGAATGAGATAATAACTAGTAATGCACTCAAACTTAAAAAAAAGAAAGAAAAAGATTTCTTCTACTTACACATATTCCAATTCAGTATGAAATTATTGAGGTTGTAAGAATGAAAAACATTACTGAAAAGAAATGTGTCAAACTTCAAGTAGAAATACTAGTACTGTTCATAACTAAAGGTTCAACATGAGGGAGGCAGGAGTGCCCGGGGGGACCAACACGCCCTTGGAAGACCATGCCAACGTCCACGTTGAGATTCCCGGGCTTTATTTCCTTTTGTTCCCCTATTTTTTTTTCTCTACTCACCCCAACCAGTCCTGGCAGAGGCCATCCACACCGAGCCCGGTTCTGTTAGAGGTTTCTTCCACCTGGTAGTTTTTCCTCCCCGCTGTTGCTCATGCTAGCTCGGTGTGGAACAAGTTGGATTTTGTCTTTCTTAAGATCTTGGACTTTTGTGCAGCACCCTGAGACAACTGTTTGTTGTGATAAATAAATTTGATTGATTGATTGATTGAACATTGTAGAAAATGAGATATTTCTAAGCACTGACCATTGTTTCCATGAGTTTTATCAAACTGCAGTTGTAGATTATGATGTTTTACCTGTGACAGGCCGATACATCACTCAGAAAAGTTTCCCAATCAGAAGAGAGACTCAGCAGTGTCTTTTCATTAAACGTCCCTGACTGGTAAACACAAATCTTTGTTAAATCTCTTGTCTCCACCCTGTGACATCATTGGGGTTACTTTCTCAGACTTGTTTAACACTATTGCTTTCACAAGCAGAACTAGTAGAACTAGTAAAGCGTGGAAAATTTGCAGTCTTACCCTTTTCATTAATGACGAATGTGTGTCTGAGTGAATTGTCTGGCAACACTAAAGGACAGGTTGAAAATGTTGGCAGGTACTTGGAGCATATTGATAGGACAATGTCGAGGAAATAATATTCAGTTTTACAGTTTGGGCAAACATCTGGAACACATCCACACAAGTACGCAATTCACATGTCAGGAAACACTGTTCACAACAAAAAAGTGAGAACAATTTACTTTTACATCTTTGTTTGTTTATATGGCATGTGGCTGTATGTGTAAAACCCTCAGCAAAGGAGCAGAAGGCTCTGTGCTGCAGTGATCACATGATGGTGACTCTCTCAGGTGAAACATGGGCAGCTGAACCCACTGGCTCCAGGCGCTGGCACCGGTACTGACAGCTATCCATTCCTCGGCGGATCCGATGGAGCTTGCAGGCAACACAGGGAAGCAGAATCACCACCTTTCCCAGGATCACACACACCGGCAGGGCCAGGGCCACCACGAAGCTGGGGGGCAGGTAGAAACGGTAGGCCTCCTCCTCAAAGGCCCGCTTCCAGCCAAACAGCAGACCATGGAAGGTGGCAATGAGCAGGGCAATGTAGCCCAGAGTGGACTAGAGCAAAAACAGAGAGACGTGTGATGGTGCGCACATGTAACAACTGCTATGATCGTACAGCCATGCCCTCCACTTGAGACACACAACTCCTGGTACACTTTGTGTAACAAAAATCCAGTGTTCCCTTTGCAGTTTGGCCATCTTCGTAAATTATTCCTGTTGTTCTCATAACCTTTACTGTTTATATCAGATGTATGCTGGTGCACAAACAACAAGCGGAAGTTATTGTAGTTTGACAGCTCGCTGACATGCTTAGCAGTTATAGGTATTTAAAACTGGCTTTGACATGATACACATATTTTCTAATTCAGTCATACAATCTGTCACACAATATCATTATCTTTAATGTTCATTGAAGACAAATAGGGAAAAAGACTGTTTCTGCAGAATCATGTGATTATTTTGACTGAAGCAACAAATCTCATGGATTCTGCAGCTCTGGTAACATTTCACTTATTTTTAGAGCGTTTCCATCCTCTGAGGAAAGCCACTGTCACACCTCTGGATTTAATATTCATACCTGTATAAAGCTGAACTCCCTCCAGTTGAGCATACTGTGGACGGATGGAATGGAGGTGATGGCCAAAAGTGAGAGGAGCCCAAGACTCATGATCCCAAAGGAAACATACATCTCCACCCTCCACACCTCCTCCTCATTCCACGCATTCTCCACGTTAGCATGGACCTGACAACACAGAAGATGCTCATTATAGAATTATCACAGTGATCACCTATCACTTGTTTTGATGCATGGCCAAATCAACCTGCAAGAAAGGCCTGGGACAAAGAGGAGCTGCTTTGACTCTATTGACCTCCTGTAACCACATCTATATATAAAACTGGACCCATCTCAAAGCTCTTATATCAATAAGTTGTATATTTTGCATCAGTAATATAAATTCAAGCCAATGAGCTGTGTTCTGACCTGGAGACAAGGAAACTAACCTGATGGGCATGTAGACAGAATAATATTAAGTGTTAGTATAATATATTGGATAGTATTGGGTTAGGCTTAGGGATAGTATTTTATATATATACATATATAAATATACACAATAATATTTGCACATTACAACTTTTAGTGCATTTCATGTTTATATCATACAGGAACGTCTCCACATGTTTTAAGGATGATCAAGGAAAAATATCAAATATCAATATTGAATATCCTGGAAAAAAAGCCAAATCCATGCTTGACAAGGGAAAGGTTTTAGAAGTTCTTACAATGATGAATTATTTTCCACATACTTGAGTTTCAGTAAGCCTAATGTTGAACACACCCTTGACTTTTAAAAATAACTTGATTAGATTGAAATTAGTTCAACCCTAACCCTAACCCTTTGTCTCATGGGGCTTAATAAGGTGCAACATCCTCTTCACCCTCAACAGGAAAAAGATACATGTTCAGATGTATTAGCTGGAAAAAAATGATTACATTTCTCTAAATATTCCATGCCAGATTTATGTGCAGGGAGATGAAATTTATGAGTATGAATGTGGACATACTGTCAGTTGCCCTTTGTTCTACTGACCTGCTGGTAGGCAGTGTTGAGCATCAGGTACCTCTCAGATCTCCTCATGGGCAGACAGAGGCTGTAGAGAACGTGCACAGCTGCCAGAAAGAAGCTGAGGAGGCCCATCTGTTTCCGGCTCTGCAGCCAGCCCTCCAGCCAATGTGGGAAATGTCTGTACTTAGTACCGTAGTAGAGCTGGTGGGCAGCAGCCAGCTGGCCTGCCAGGTACACAAGGGCCAAAAGAGTGATAGCAACAGTGGGCAGTGTCCGATTGACTATCTCAATGGGGATCTTGTAAAAGTCACTCTGCTTGTATTTCACATATGGGTGGATGATATCTCGTACAAAAGAGTAAGCGAAAAAAAAGATAGAGAGGGCCACAGCAGCGAGGACTGGGCCCCTCCAACCAGGAAATAACTGTATGGGCATGTTCTCAATGTCCCTTGAAGAAGACAGGGTGCCCATATCCATGGGCTGGAAGTTAAGCTGGCGGGCTAACTCCATAATTTGCTGTCGAGCCTCCACTGAGTCACTGCAGATGAACACCTACGCAGAGCCAGGAGTACAGAGGAGAGGACTGGTTAGAAAAGCAGAAGGTATTGAACCGAGGAGAGAGGACATTTACATACAGTATTGTTAATTACATACTTCTGTGTGCCACTGAACTCCTCAAAGAGCCACAGTGTTGCACTGGGTAACATGCCCTATAATTACCATGAAAAGTATGATGACTTATAGGGGTGCACGCTTGCTCACCTGGTAGTGTGGGCACCACGTATATAAGTTCAGTTCCCACCTTTCCCCATTCTCTCTCCCCATTTCACACCTGCACTTTACTATCGATAGCATTCCCTCTACAGCTGCCAGAAATACTCACCAGAGCAAAAACATGGAGTAACCCACTGCTGAGAGTAGTGAAGAACAAATGAGCAACAATTATTGCAAACTACAGAAACTAGCTATTTTAGGAAACAGGACCTGGAACGTTTTACTGTAACTATGTAAACTATATATCTGTCAGCTGTTTAAGTCAGATTAAGTCAGATTGTCGTCAGTGGTAACCAATGTGGTCTGAGATCACAGACCAGGTAGGGAGGTCAGGAAGTTCTGAGAAAATAAAAAACAATTGATTGATTGAAATAAATACAGAATATTTCCCCTAAAAGAAAAAC